TGATAAATATTAATCTTTTCGGATTAGATGTACCTTTTACGTATATGACTTATCGACATAACAATAATTGCTTAACTTTTAGATGGTTAAATCCGCGAATAGATTATCGACTCGTTCAACTTCTACGTCATCCATTCTTCGACGTCATATATCGGGGCCATCAACAACTGGACAATCTGAAAATAACGAAACGGATCAACGGTGTCCTACAGCTGTTGCCGGTATTAATCAAATCTCTCGAATTGACTGACGAGATTTTCGGTTTTCTTTCGAAGCTGTTTGTACAGGGCGGGGTGATGCTAAAGGAACAATTGGTATTTGTTGTTATGATTTCTTATCGACGACACTCATTCTTTCTGAATTCAGTGATTTCTTATCGTATTCACGTTTGCTTTCAAAATTAGAAACATTGGCACCTGACGAAGTAAATAACAGACGATCTATTTTCGCCTGACAAACAAAGAAATAATATCTCTCTTTGAATTATGCGTGTAGGTTCTTATACCAGCGTCAAACAATTCTGTTACAGAACGAGTTCGTTTGACTGATGCGATCAGTGCTCATCACACTCAAATAAAACTTGTTAATCTACATCGAAAATATTTCTCACCAGAACATGGACGTGAACAGTTGCAAAAACTAATGACCAATGACCGAGGACAATTTCTTTTACATCGATTGGACGAAAAGTATTCGTTGCAACTGTTCCCTTTCTCGACTTCTGCTCATTTCTTTTAGATATTACTGTACATCAGCGTGTGCTGCTTTGTTCCGGTACCTTGAACATCAGTATGAAATGTTTTTTTTCGAGAAAAGTGTACATATACAAGTACAAAATTCCGAAAAATGTGCTTTTTTCGACTTGGCTAGTGCGCGTTATCTAGGTACGATTGATTGCATCATTTTTGAATGATCTACATTTAGTTCTTCTCGTAGGCATCCTTGTCGATTTTGCTTCGTCGAATCAATGTGGATTAGCACCGGGTTTTCAATCACTTTACAGCATTTTACAAGCAACGAAAACCAAAATGGGTGCACG